GACTTCCTGTGCAGTTGATACTAATTGGTATTCAATAATACATTTGTTACCTTGTTACATTTATTTTGAAATATTATGATTTGATAATTTTATTTTTTAAAAATGTGTATGTTAATATGTTATGCTAATAAAATTTAATTTTAATTAAACATTATCTTTAAAACATCTATTTAAATAATTATTGTCTAAATCTTTTTGATTATAGACGATTTAAATCCCTTCAAAAATGCCCTTTCAATATTCTCAGATAGTAGAAATTTGTCGCGATATCCTTACTATATCCTACCTGTATGTGCTAGGAATGCATTGTCCTTACTATGGTCATATTAGGATGTTAAGGATATAACTTATATTATAAATCAGTGTATCTTTCAGATATTCTTTTGTATGTCCAAGGGACATACGATTGGGACTATCCTCAGGACAGTCTGAGGATGTTCGAATATTACCTATGGCAGATATAGGTTATCTTCAACCGCAAACGCATTCACTAAAATCACTGTCACTGGAAGTAATAATATACAGAATTGCATCACAAAACCAAAAACAATGCTATAGATGGACTGTTGCAGCGAAACTACTGCACAGACTAGCGCATGCACATTAAACGAGATGAAAGAATAAATTGTAGGTTCTGTAGGATGTCCCAGAGTATGTGGGATAACTAATAATGGGATATCCGGGATATGCGCCATGAATAGAACATTAATAGCTATTTGGGATCAGCTTACAAATGTAATGAAACAATTAAATTGTACACTTTATACTTTATTTGTTTGAATTTGGCACAGGAAAGAACAATGAGCCTATTCTCTAGTATAATATGTCAGTTTGTCACCATGTTCGAATATATGACTTAATATTACCTTTTACACTGAGAATGGGATTTTTACAAACACTCACTAGCCGTCTAATGCATCATGGAATCAATCAGATATACTTTCCTTAACTATTTATTCAGTTGATACACTTGCCCTATATTCGTAAGGATATTCAAAAGACAAAACAACGATACATACCGGAACATGAAAAATGGTGTTTTGTGTTAGGAATATTTCTTAAAAAGATTTATACATCGACATCATAGAGACCCACTTTAACACTAATGTATTTACAGGAAAATTGTAGATGTAATAGTTACGGAAAATATAATAAATGCACTACACATTCTCATCTTTAGTAATTTCATATTTTACAGATTGTGCACACCTAACCTGTAGTTTTAACTAAAAATTTTACACTATAGGTACCCTACTTAACAGGTATCACATTTTTATATAAAGTACATATTCATGTATATCATAAAGTTTAAGTACGGTTCTGAAGCATTTGATTTGATAAAATATAAATACCTTTGTATGATATCCATGGGCTATACATATTTGGTTGCCATGACTGAATGTAAAAAAAAATCTGAATTATAACACATTTGAATATTATCTAGATAATACACATATGAAATTATTAAAATATTTTTAATACATAATTACATATTACACTGTTTTTTAATTTCCATATTACAGATAAAACTATTGTCTTGGTAGATAAGGTAGCCAATTATTCTGTTTATTCTTTTTAACTAATAATTGCTTACATAATAACTGATATTGCATAACAGCGGCTTAATAGTATTTACACTTGTAATCAAATTATCTGTTTTGCTAATCTTAATTAAAAATGAACTGTTGTTAATGAGAAACGACAAAGCGGAACTTGCACAAGTTAAAAAATTTGAAAATTCAAGATAAACGATCAAGGCCTTCCAAGTTTTTTTTCTCAAAATTTCTAGATTATAAATTTTATAAATTAACAACAGTTATCTCAGAAAGTATTGAGTTGGGGAGTAAGTAACGTCCGTTTTTTTTTTAAATTGAAAAATTTACATGAAAATTAAACAAAGGGGATTTATTACTCTATCAGAATGTGTTTTCGGTTGCTTCCTTAGATTTAATTTTTGTCAATTTTCATTCATTTAAAATGGAATGTCACGTTGATAAAATCATTTTTGGCACTTTTTATTGTTAATAGAGTCAGGGAAAACGCTAAAGCTGCTCAAGCTACTCGGGAAATTTGTGTATATGGTGATGATGCGATGAATGAACGAAAGTCGATGGTTTTCGCGTTTTAAAGAAGATGATTTCAACCTTAAAGACATGAATTGTCCCAGATGCCCTGTTGAATTTGGTGAACAGCAATTGAATCGACTCCTTCACGAAGATCCAAAACAATAGACAATCACCTGCGTACAATGGGAACAGTTCAAAGTTTCAGTGCTTGGGTTCCACATGTTTTGAACGAAAACAATGAGAATCAATGCTAGTTCGTTCTTGCGTCATTGGTCAACACGTGGTCATAAAGAACGTTTTCTTCATCTTCACAGGTGATGGAAAATGGTGTCTGTACTTTGAACTTGAAACAGCAGAAAGAATGGTTAAACCCCAAAATGAAGCAAATCCTGAACAAGACCATCATTTCATCCTCGAAAGACAATGTTATGCGTCTTGTGGGATTGGAAAGGGATTCTGTATTACGAACTCTTATCAAACAATCAAACCGTCAACGTAAAATTCTATGTACCAACAACTACGGCGATTACAGGAGGTAATTTAACAAAAACGACGATCAGTGATACGATGTTCTTTTGCAACATGACAATGTGCGACCATATATCGCCAATATGACCAAAATGATCATTCGGCAGTTGAATTGGGAAGTTCTGACCCCTCCGCCTTTCTCTCCAAATCTCTGCCTTTTGATTTTCACTTCTTCCGCTCTCTGTCAAATTCCTAACGAGGTGTTTCTTTTAACAATGACAATGAGTTAAGAGCTTGGTTGGACGAGTTTTTCAAGTCCAAATCGGAGGATTCCTACAGAAAAAGCATCGAGAAACTTGTTGAGCGTTAGGAGGAGATCATAAATAACGATGGAGAATGCAGCACTGATTAGCCACCACTGATAATTGTGGAGTTAAAAATAAAATATCTTAAATTAAAAATAACGGGCATTACTTATTCCCCAACCCAATAGTTTAATGAAGACTATTTCATGATGGGCACTACAAGTGACTATTTTGACTGCTATGAAACATTTCATTAAAAAATTTATTTGCATGTGCAAAATATTAATTTTATTGGTAAACTCAAACAAGTAAATATCTCAATAATTGCAGAAGTATAAATTGTTTACTTTTTGTCTAGTAACTAGATATTCTCCAGTACGTTACATTTCTTTTTAAGATTCATTGTATTACAAGATTGCTTATTTATTTCTTATATTGACGAATGAATATTTAAATGAGAGCAGAAACGCAGTTCGCAATTATTAACTGTTAAAAGGAGAGCAGAATAACAAGAAATAAATGACGTTTTTTGAACAATTAATTAAAAAACTTTAGCAAAGTGTTAGAAATTCTCAACTTAGGAACCGTTATCTACAAGCTAATTGTTTAAATAGGAGTAAGTAAATGTATAAAACTTAACAGTATCTATCGACAAAAGAAAGAGAAGAAGTTTAAAGGTGGTCTAAAAAATGAGAACAAAGCAATTTTAATAGTAATAGTTTATATATTTTTTACTCACAATTTATAGTAAAAGTGTGCCAAATTGTTTTGCAATTATATGTGATCTGTTGATCTGAAAATTTTGATCTCCATTTTAAAAGTTAACTGGTTAACTGTATACTAATGGGGATTTTTTATAATTAGTTTGGTGAATCAAACTTTCTGAAGTCTGTGAAGTTCAGAAATAATTATTAGTTTTTTCATCAATTTTATTAGACTTGTTGTTCTGTATTCCTAACACTCTGCATGTAAAAAAAGAACCAATGGAGTACCTATTAAGAGTAAAAAGCAAAAGCTACAATACTTGTGTAAAACCAAAACAGTATAACAGGATTGTATTGAAGTTACGATTTTTCCAAAACAGCGTCTATAAGCTTAGCAATAATAAAAGTCACAATATTTAAAACAATTGATATATGTTTGGAAATTATTCCTGTTCTGTGTTTTTTTGTGTCATACTGTACTTACTTTCTTATGTATGGCAGTAGATTATTTAAAATTGTACCTGTAATTTAAATCTTACTTGTTACTACTGTATGCATTTTAGGGCTAAAATACATAAATAAGGTATATGAGGGATATTTATATAATTTATGTCTAAGTACATAACGGGTATATTATCTAACCATAGAGTACATATGTATATTTCGAGTTTGACTGTACAATTACTAAAAACTGTTGAAAATAAATAATATTACTTAAAGTACTGGCTCTTATATTAAAATATATAAACATCAACAGTTCAGAAACAAAACTACTAATAAAAATTTACATTGCACTTTTCAAATTTAGTTTTCTGGTGCCTCGTCTTCCCTCAAATTTGTACCATAACGCTCGTGTTAAATTAATACGTTTCATTTAAAATCTAATAAAGCTACACTTTTAAGAGGTCCGTAATAATGGGAAGACTGGACTTGATTTCTACAAACTTTTAAATCGATAAATTAAGGATGTCATCGCGTCCTATGATTCGTGATGATTGTTGATAATAAATTATTAATGACTGATGCCGAAAGTGATTTAAAAGTTTGAGTTCCGAACGATTTTTCCATGACAACAAAAAGTTTCAATCAATCAGAATTTCCCGGCAATGCAATGAAAAACTGTTTATAAAACTTTACAAGAATTTACAAAATAAAAACAAAAAATAATAACTAGGTATAAATAAATAACTTCAAGATCTTAAATATATCTACATAACAATACAACTACAACACCAATTATTAAGGTTAAATTTTGAATAGAAAGTCTTTTGGTTTTTCCTTCTTTTCACATTCGATGGCACAACGAATTTGGCCTCTTGTCTTTTTATTCACAGTTCTGTAATGAATAAACCTAAATCTTTCCTTAAAAATGTCCCAAACGGGACCAACAATTTTATTTGAGTACAATCCAGACCTTAGTACCATTGAGGGAATATATGATCCCTGTTTGGCCAGGCTCAGTCATCTTCGTGCCTAGGACTCGAGTCGTAAGCCTTACTATGTTCCTGCGAGAAGTTCATAGCATCGGGAGATGGGTTCTCTTGGGAATAATAGTAACCACCCTCTGAGCTCGGTCCTGCCCCATTCATAATGCCCAAAGGAGGAGAAACCGAAGTCATTCCAGAAGTAGAGGTGGCGGGGGAAGAAAGGTCCGAACTCTGCATACTAAAATTCATTTCAGTGCTATCCCTACACCACAACTGTCTCATCTCTTGGCGGCGCTGTTTCATGAGCATCTTGTATTCTGATATGCGCATTTTTTTACCTGCAACAGTTAAGACTACGTCAATAGATAGTGGACAAGTTCAAACAATTTCGTCTTTAGAATATTCAAATACAGTTTTTTTACAACACCCTTTAGTGTGGATTTTTATTTTGTGATATGCACAAAAATATAAGAGGAAACTCATTAAAGAACTGGTATAAAATATATTACAGGAATTATTTGTATTCTGTTTTTCCGACAGAGTCCACCTGCTTTATAACACACACACCTGTCCACAAACTCACGATTGTCTTTAACAAATGTTCATTCAAGCTATAGTCTTCAAGTCATCGATTGTCTACAAATGCATGCTACAGTCTTTCAGATGGAGGTGCTGGCTATTGAATAATAGAGTTAATAGGAAGAAACGTTAAAAACCAAATGATTTGTAGTTTACTCTGACAGTCTAGACAACGCTTCAAGCAATCAGGGCATACTAGATTAAATCCAGGTTTGTATACAGCTGTTTGGGTGCTTTCATAAAGGCTAGTAAGTTGGAATTATGTGACTTTATCTTAGATTCCAGGATATGAAAGACATAATATAAGCAACGAGAAATCTGATGATTTAGCCAAATAGGGCTCATCTACGTCCTCAGCTCAGTGGAGGCATCGCTAGAGGCTATGTTATTCACTGATGCAGAAATGAATAAGAGATAATGCCAGAAAATGGTGAAAAGCAACCTCTGGACAGAGGTGATTCAAGAAGTTCTCAAAGAGACCATAGAAGGAGTTGACGATAAATTTACTAAAATAAAGTCACGGGTCAATACGGATAATAGTGTGACTGCTAACAGGGCATTGCACATTTAGGAAATAGCTGAGTAACATTGGCCTATGTAGCTATGAAGGTTCTGACAGATAGCCATATCAAAGAGCCGCTGGTAAAAATGCGGAACCTAATTAGAAGGCTAAACCTAGATGAAGAACTGTAAGATCATTAAGGTCCATAATCGACTTTGGCTGTAGTGGCAAAAAGAGGTGTGTATCATACTAAACAGAGCCAAGATTCTCATCTCCGTGAAAAATGAAATTGTGACTATTAGTTCGTATAGTAATTAATATTAATAATGTCATCGAAACGCTTTCACTTCAAGGGAACAAACGTACTGCAAGCAATTTGCTGAGAGAGTTGCGGAAAGACTCAAGATTTTGCCGGTAAAAAAGTAACAACTAGACTATTGTTGCCGCACAGCACAATTAATGGTCGTACGATAGATCTGTTATTCTGAGATTGAAGATGTTACAATATTCATGGTACTACTTGAATTAACATCATCAGACTAGTTTGCAGAGTCAAGGTTGAAGATTATAATGATGCAATTGAAGTAGTGCAAAGTTGGTTAAATGTTACACCAAGATACTTCGTTGTAAAGAGCATCTGCAGTCTGTGGACAATAGACCAAGTGTATTATGGAACAGCAGGACTGTCAAAAAATAAAGTGCAAATATTTTATTTACTCTTGTAATACTTTACTAAATACCTACTGTTATTTAGTGTTTGATAAATTATAACAATTTGTAAAAAGATTACGATTATGAATGAAAGAGATTGAAGAAACGGAAAAGACAAAATGGGGTGAATGAAGACATGAATATTTTTACCTACAGTAACTAATATTACTACCAAAAAGTCGTGGAAATGAACTCAAGCTGTTCTGCTTAAGTAGCAACACAAGGATATGAGGGAATTAATTTAGTTAAGATTAAATCTAGCTTATGAAAAAGTTAAAATGGAATTAAAAAGATTCGCATTGAGTATCAACATCTATTTGAATTTACCATCAACTATGCATGTCCTCTTGGGTCTTGGTCTGTATCTGTAATCGGGGTGTTTTTCCATGTGCAACTTGGAGAGCCTGGACTGTTCCTCGTAGTACGGCTGCTTCTCGGAATTTGACATGGCCTTCCAACGAGCGCCTAATATTTTTGATATGTTCGAGTTGTGCATGTCTGGACACGCCTTTAGAATCTTTCGCCTTTCGTCTTTTGCCCACACCATGAAGGCGTTCATCGGTCGCTTAATATGGGGTTTATTCTCGTTGTCCCTTTTCGTCTGTTGGCGGATTATTTTGGCTTTCTCGGAGTTCTCGTCTAACTTGAAGCTAGTGTCAGGCGCGCCCCATACTGAAAATATGTAATTTTTAAAATATTTCCTAGCAAATTCTTTATGTTTGTGGACTTATAATATCTCTATTCAAAGCTTTAACTGCAGATAATAGCCCAACCAACACCGTTTATTAGTTTAAACCAGCGGTATTCAAAACTGTGTTCCGCGGAATCCTGGGGTTCGCCAGAACCTCTCTGGGGGTTCCGCGATTCAAAAATTCAAAATTTTAAAAGTAACTATATCGATTACTTCAAAATTAAAAAAAAATTATAGTCTTATTTAAAACTAGTATTTATAAATATGTATATTATATAGATAATAATCAATAAAAAATGCGTTCGAAAATTTTTCTTCCTCAAAAAAATTGAAATGTTAGCGGGGTTCCGCAAGTCATAAAAGTCTGAAGACCGCTGATCTAAACCAATCTATGAAAGAAATTTTATAATTTTTAGATAGTCTAAAATTTACAATTCCAATACGGAAATGTAGCCAAGACAGATAGATCACAACTACATATTTATGGATTTTGAGGATTGTTTCTTCAATTGGCCTCTTTGTTATCTCATTACATTAACTTATTTTTTTTTTATAATTAAACATGTCGTTGGTAGCCATTGATTGTTATTTTTTCCTTTTTTTTTGTCTGGATTAGTTCAGGAAGGATAACAAAACTATTGTATTTTGTCGGGTTTCGTCATTTCTATTACCACTTCCTCAGGACTCTGTAGTTAAGGCGTTATTCTTTTTATGTAAATTATGGAAGGAAATGAAAGTTGGTAAATCTTTAAATGCAATAAAAAAGAAAAAATCATTATTTTTTTCATATTGAGTATTTCATTGAAAAGGCAAATACAAAATATAAAAAAATAGTGACGTATTTTTCGCGTATTTTAAAAAGTTGTTGACGTTTCGAAAATTAATTTCATCTCTTGAACTGAAAATGACTTCATTTTTAATTCATTTTGACATTTTAAATTTGTTTAAACTTGTTAAATTTGTTTACGTTCAAAATATCTTATGTTCTGCTTTCAAGAAGACAAGTGGCGGTATTCACAAATCGTTTAAAAAATGGGAACCTTTTTATGTCATTATTTTGTAATTTTAATATAATTATGTCAGACTGAATGTGAGAAAGACCATATCCCATTCCGAGACCATATATTTGTTAATAAAATTCATTACTAAATTTGAAACTTGTCAGATATAAATTGGAAAACTACCAAACGATCTTCCATTTTAAGTCTACAATAACATTTTATCAATGACTGTCTTTAACTAGTACCAAAACTAAATCAGTAGGAACATTTGTAAATAGAGAAATAATGACCAAAGAAACCAATATGTAATTTTTAAGTGTATTCATATTTTATAACTGTTTACAAGTTCAAATAAATTCTTTACATAATAATCGTTTCTTAGAAAAGCATATTTCAATAGATTCCAAACATATTTTTATGTACTTTAAATACAGACAAAGGTCTTAACATATTTCAACAGATTCCTAACATATTTTTATGTTTTGTAAATACAAAGGTTTTTAGGAAGTGTTAGTCTTATGAATTTTCGGAAGAAAATTTCATTTGAGAAAAATATTCTTTTGGCATTTTAATAAATTGATTTCGTAACTATTTAAAGAGTATAGATTTTTTTGTGACTATTATTTCTTCTGTGGGATCTTTCGGTAGTCTAGCTTTGGTTAATGCAACTATGGTATTTCCCTTATAAGCTTATATAATTAAAAGATCATTGTGGTGTTCAAGAAATTTCTTTTTTTTCCATTTTATGATTTTTTAAATTTTCACTTGAACTAGGAGGGTTACTTTTATATTTATCGTTCTTATTCTCAATTTTATCATCCTCGTTATAACAACATTCAGTTGTGTAGGTACTTTACGTCTATAAAAAATTGTTCTAACGTAAGTTTTTCCCCTAAACTATGTAAATCTTGAACAGATGTATTTGATTTATGCAAATACCTTACATAATTTATACTACTCCTTGTGAAAAAGCATATTATTTAGCCACTAGATGGCGCCAAATTTGACAACAAACGATAATTTTTCCTTGATATTTCTAAAACACTGTCCAATCTAAATTACTTTTAGTTTTCTAGGACTTACGTATAAAGTATAAAAAGGATAAAATAAGTACAATGATAATGTCTCAATTTGTCACGAAATTTTATTTCGTTTTGTCTAAAAACATCATATTATTACTAATACTAAAGAAATAGATGACAAATTATTCGTAGTATCGTACCAGTAATATTGGAATATAAATTGATATGTGACTTTCAGCAAGAAGCAATCAAAAGTTTAATAAGAAATAGAAACTGAAACAATATTGTGCCTTGAAGCGGAATGAATTGAGGAAAGAGAATTCGAATTGAAAATGAGTTTTGTTAAAGCTAAAACTAAAACTAATATACCATACAGTGATGTATTAAAACTAAGTATCTACTTATTTTATATTTAGCTAATGTATTATTTAAATTATCATATCATAAAACATGAAAATTTCGGCATGTAATTAACATAACGTTCTTTGTAATAAATCTTACTATCAGCATTATTTTCAAAAATAGGTGTTGAACTAAAATATAAAGGTACTAAGTTTTTGAATTACATTTTCATATTTACCGTTGATCGTGAAAAGTTTTTTACTAACAATTTTTGGAAAAAAATTGTGGAGGACAAGAAACTGGCAATAGATTAAATGAGACACTGTAAATAGTTTTGTAATTAAATTTTACTGTCAAGATTACCGAGAAAAATGTGTTGTCAATTGTCAAACGTCTGCACCTTGTTAAACAAAGAAAAAGTAGAGAGAAATGTCGCATATTAATTTTACGATTTTTCACATTATACTGAAGTGACAAAACACAACAGTTAAACTTACTGAGTAATTAGGCGACCTAAAAATAACCCTATTATTGAAAAGCCGTTCCGCGTGTAGTTGTAATATAATTATTATTTTGGCAGAAAATCAAGAAGTATCGTCCAACAAAACCGATCACAATTGGAGAATGAAAAGAATTCCCGAAGATCAAAGAAAATCTAGATATTTATTTGAAAGATATTTGATAGTTATATGGTTTTCGCATAATTGTTGTTTTACAGTTTCAACCGGAATGTCGCCAAAATAGTTTTGAAAAATATAAGAATACCAGTATATGTGAAAACTATGAGAAATAAAAACATATAAATACACTTAATATTTGAATATTAATATAACGAATACGTATAATAGTTGTCAATGATCATGAGAATGTTTTACTGGCTTATTTTGACTATTCATGCAAAGAAAAAAATCATCTCTGTGGACATGTTCCAACCGAGATACAGGGTGTTGAATTTAATTTCAATGTGAACTGAAAGAATTTCTCGCCATTCACTAAATAATTTAATTTTATGACAATTTTGAAACAACAGCTTTCCGTTTAAATTTGATTAGCGATGTGAAAAATGTTATAGGTGTAGAAATTCTGAAAAAAATAGGGACACCCTTTTATCATACCACTTGTGGTTGTAATGAATCGTTTGTAGTTAAATTTTAAACCCATTATGTTACCACAAGATGTGCCGAATATGGTTTCATTATTACTTGCTGCTTTTTATACATCACGGGAGAAAAGTTTAATTTGGTTCTTGGTAATTGACAAAATCTGACAATATTCGTGGTGGATGCCACTGAAAATTAAATCATCTGATTTGCTAGCCAAAATCTTATCTATGTCTCTTACTACATTTTTGGTCTACCGACTGTTCTGTGTCTGCATGTATTTCGCATCTGCCGATTTTTCTACATTGTTTTTAGTAAAAAAAGTATAAATTCTACACCCTAAATCACGGTTAGGAGACGGTTTATATCTTTCTATGTTCACATACATTTTTTGGTCAAAATTAACTTCCCTATCAACTGTAAAATTTGTATGTTTAAAATGGGAACACCCTATATGTATACGACTGAATAAATATATTTTTCATTGCCTAAACTAATTTTTCCCCAGATTTTAGAAGGCAAAAATAACATCACAAGCTTATATATTTTTTTTTACTGGGACACTCTATAAAGTTATTCGAAAACGGTTCATTGTGTCGATAATAAACGCTTAAAAAATTGAAAGTCTTAAAAACGTCAACAAAAATTAAAAAGCAAGCCCATATTACTGAGAGTGCTCTACTCCAGGACTCCTCCAAGTATCTAACTGTGAATTGAATACATTCGTAGAAATAGCTTTAAGTAACATAGCTTTGCACCAAAAATTATAAAGATGTAACGAAAAAAAAGTTATAACGAAATACCGATTTTCAACTTTTTCAACTTCAAGAGCTAATTTTTCTTGTTATTTTTGCTATAAACTTGTGACCACTCTATAACAATAAGTGACAGTAATTTTTTGTTCAACCCCCGGCCAAGGGTGAGAAAAGGTAAAACAAAGGAGTTTTTCAAGATAACTCAAAAAGGGCAAGGGCTAGAAAAAAAAGTTTCTTATAAAAGTTGTAATGCATACAATTCTACATAAAAATGGCATCTTGACTTCTTGTACTATTAAAATTAACAAGAGTTAGGGAGGCTAGAAGTTAAGGGAAGATTTCAGAAATTTAAAAAAATCATAAGCAGAAAAATGAATGAATTTTGTAATTTCTTTTTTCAATCTACTCTAAAAAATATAAAGCGACACGTATTTTTTTTATCGGCGGAAAAACATATTTACGAGGTGAAATACATCCTCAAAGTTCGCCCCCCAAAACAGTTTTTTCAAAATTTCTGGGATTCTAATCAATATTTTGAAATGAAACAAAATGGAAATTACTTATGATAAAAAACAAATTGATTCCGTGTTTGGGGGTTGCTACCCTTATTTTTTATTTCAGAGAAACTATATTTTTTATTTATAAAAAAATCATATTTACTCAAAAAGAATTAAAAATATGATTTATTTAAACAAATTGACAAAATTAATTTGACCTGTTTGGAGGTTTTCGTTAAAATCTCTGTTTGGGGGGGTGAACAACAAATTTGAAATTGTTATAACTTTCTTATTAAAAATTAAAAAATATATCCATTTTTCTGAAAACAAAGGTTACATTTTTTAGAGGATATCGAAAAAAAAATTATAAAATTCATTCATTTTTCTGCTTATGATTTTTTAAATTTCTGAAATCTTCCCTTAACTTCTAGCCTCCCTAACTCTGTTAATTTTAATAATACAAGAAAAAGTCAAGAGGCCATTTTTATGTAAAATTGTATGCTTTACAACTTTTATACGAAAGTTATTTTTCTAGCCCTTACGCGTTTTGAGTTATCTTGAAAAACCCATTTGTTTTATCTTTTTTCACCCTTGGCCGGGAGTTGAAAGAAAATTACTGTCACTTAGTGTTATAACATTCCTCAAACTAACCCATATCAAAAATTCAGGCAGGTTGACCAAAATTTCGATTTAAAGGCTTATTTAATTGGACTATTTATTATGTTCTCAATGTCAAATAAATCATTCAAAAAACCAAACAACTTACAGTGGCAAGCTGCCATGAAATCCTGCTCCTCCTTAATACTGTCTTCCTTAGGTCTCACCCCCAGATGCGGAGGCGGTATCCCGTACAGTCCGTGTAGGGGGAAGTGGGGTTGTTTATCAGGATTTTGCATATCCTTATTTGGCTTGTTCCTGTCCACTCCAGGTGGCATGGGAAATTGAGGCGGCAGTCCAGCGTACGGAAGAAAGGCCCTGGGCATCATAAGGTTGGGTGGTATGAGTTTGGGGGCTGTGGCGGCGACTGGCTGGTCGGACATTGGCAAGTTTGGCGTGCTTTGGGGGCTGGATCCCGCCGATCCCGAGCTGGAAGATTTGGGCTTACTTAGGTTCAGGGGGGCGTCGGGATCGGAGGGTGGTGGAGGAGGTGACGGGGTCGGCTGTGGGGGTGGAGATCGTTTTTCGGGGGTAACACTGGACATCTGGGCCAGGTGGGCCGTGGCTGAGATCCAACTCGGAACTTGATGGGGAGGAAGCATCTGGAATGAGAATATTTGTTATTATTTGCTAAGTTCAAGTAAACTTGTAATTTATTAGGAAAACAGGTAGTAAAAAGGTACCTACAGGATATTTAGACCAAGAAAATTAAATTTTTACTCGAAAAAAGTCTTATCCGAGAGATTATTGTAAAATTGTCTGAAGGAATATAATACAAGACATCTCTCATCTCGCAAGTCAAAAACTTTTATTAGCTAACTTTTCTATTTAAACAAATAAGTGAGGAAAACAGTTTTTTCACTTTGCAGGAAAAACCATCCATTTTAGCGAAAAGTGACTCCCAGACTAATTATCTACAAAATGAGACTTATTAAATTAAAATTGGTTAATAAACAAAATAGTTATTGCAAAAAAACAAGCAAAATGCCCATTTTTTAATTTGTTTATAACTATCGCATTTACTGTTAAAATTTTATAAAACCTATAAATTGATGAATTTGTCATACTTCAAAAGTGAGCCTAAAGTGGGTGCTGTAGGTGCAATAGTTTTCACACAATTTTATTTGTTTATAACGGAGGCTCCAAAAGTTATGAACTTTAAGCCTCTGTACAGGCGTTAATTTTCAACCAAACATGATTCTGAAAGCTTCATTGTAATCTTAAAGACGTAATTAAGCGACGTATTAAAATATATCACCGTTTTTTTGACATTAACATTCTCAAATTGTGCATTAAAAAACCGTGCGGTTTTCGCTTATAAACAATTTGAATAACATTGTTGCTATTTATGCTATCTCACCGAAAATAGATGCAATGGATAGCTGGCAAAAAAATACAGTTTTAAAATAAAAAAAG